AGAAGGTTTTAATAAAAGTAGAATATGTGAACTAATAATAAATAAGCAATGAAAACGATATTTTAATAAACTACTACTGTAATATTCCAATTACCGTGTGAGAATATTTATGAGTAGTATAAAGCCAGTTTTGCAGTTGACATATAATTATTCGAGCTTTATCAATTTGGAATCAATCTCTACCTTCATTGCATTCAATTTTGACAACTAATTATTAAGTGGAGTATATTTTCTTAACTTTTTTTGTATGTGCGATCATTTTCCACGTTCGAAATTAATTAGTATGATTTATCCGTAGAGTTACAATTTCAATTTTATAAGTTCTGAATTTTAAAAAGGTGACTTTAAATAATAATAACTGAATTTTAAATTTAATATTGTATATATATCCAATAAGTGTTTTCAACCAAATATAACGATTGAGCAAATTAAAACTATTGAGTTAGATCAAATCAATATCCGAGTTACTAGCTTTGCCCATGACACTTTATCACTCTGATTAGTTCAGATTTGTACGGAGTAAGCCCAGAAGGAATAATTTAAACGTTTCCTTAAAAAAAAACTTTTACAAAAATGCCTATCAACTTATATTAGAAAATATAAGACTGTGTTATTCCATTTGGTTGGTGATATTGATCTTAACTTGATTCCATTTCTATTTATACTAGACACAGGTGCCCGTGCTAGTACGGGCCCAATATCTATTATTTTTTAATTTTAATTAATGTTATATAGATAAAATTTAAAATTATTTTTTAAGTTGTTAATTATTTTTTGTTTGCTCAAATTTAATGTGAAGAGGTCCTTAATTTGTTAATTACTTTTGGTTTGTGCAAATTTAATGTGAAGAGGTCCATTAAGATCCCCATAATTAAAGTATTTTTCGTCATCAATCGTTAATTTTTTACTCAAAGTAGATACAAGATATAAACAAATATTACCGACATTAAAAATAATAAAGCTATAACTAAATAATATGAATTCAAAACTAAAAGTCATAGCTAAAACGGATCTCATAATTTCAAAAATATTATACACTAGTTAAATTATAATAGAACAAAAGAAATCATTTTTTAATTTTTTTTTCGAAACATGCTGAAGCAGGGCACGTTGACAGAGACGTGCTTGCTTCAGTGTGAACTCTCTCTTATATAATAAGAGTATATATATTAAGCATAGGGGAAGATGCCTTATTTATTTTATTAATTATATTTTGAAAATTTTAATTTGACTATTAGTATTTTATATAATTACTTAACGATAATGATAAAGTCAGTCAAAAATAATTAATTTTCTTAATTTATTAAAATAAAAAAGTAAAACAATTTTATTTTATTTTTAATATAAGAGTAAAATAAATGATACCATTTATTTACTTTATTAATTATAATTAGAGCATGTGAATTAATTTCCCATAAAAATCTCAGTCAATAAGATGATAACATTTTCCTTAATTCTGTCATTATTTATCCTTTCTACAATCTCTTCTTATTATATAGTATATCTGTTCATTTTTACTTGTCATATTTAAGTTTGACCTATTTATTAAAAAATAATTGATATAGTTATTTTATTACACTATTTCTATTAATTGATGTTTAATAATTAATTAATACGATAGATAAAATGTGATTTAAAAAAAAATATTAATATGAAAAATGACAATCAAAATGAAATTTATTTTTGAATAATGAATTAAGTAAAAAAAAAAAAAAGAGATGAAAGTGGGACCTGTCATATTCTTCGATGACATATTAAGAAAGTGGGACCGATCATATTCTTGAATGGCATGGTATAGTTTGTAGTTGAATTGAAAAAGGAGGACCTTTTTAAGAGTTTTTACTTAGGATCAAATAACAATGCAAGATATAGAACTTTTTAAAGCAAGTTTATCTTGCAAATTTTTTTAAAAGATTTTAATACCCTTAAAGTTTAATTTAATACCAGAAAGCTGACATGTTGAAACAGTCCTTTCTACATATTCTTTGTTAAAAAAAATTCTTATATAGCAAAAAATGGCTTTAAAATCTCTTCACTATCAAGGCAATTACACATTCTCTAAATCAGAAAAGGTGCATGAAATTCATGCATTAATTTCTTCCAATATTGCAATTTTTGTTTCCTTCTTGCATTATTACTTATGCTCGATCCATCGAGTTTATGATATGTTATGTATTAATTTAATAATGTTATTTTCGTTGCTTGCAGGGTTATATAGTTTATCCGAAATCTCTTAATATTATTTGGGGAAATGATAAACGTTATTGGAAGTTACCCAAATACGAGTAAGAATACTGCTTTTTATTTTTTATTTTTGCCGACTATAATATGTTAGATACTTGTAAGTTATAATTGAACTTTGAGATATATTTCGATTTCATAAAGAAGTTGAACATACAATTTTCTATAAGGAGTACATAAATCATCTTGAGGTCAATTTAATTATACTAATCTCTTGTTGTATATACAAAAGCGTTAAATTAAAATGGCTGAAAGAGACTTTCAAAACAAATTATCTAAGTTATAGAAATTAAATGGGTTATACTACATACTACCTTATAATTTGGAATTTAAGCATGCTAACGTTTTCATTAAATATATTTGAATTACAGAAAGGATGATGCAGAACTTATGCAAGTAAATTGGTTGGAGGTAACTGGTTGCATTGACAATATTAATATAGCGAAGAAAACATCATACGAGATTGGATTTACAATGTCATTGATGACTGATGCGTTCGGTTGGAGTGGTTCGCCACTTTATCTTATGGCTAAATGGGGAGATAACACTCAATGGAGAAAGGTGAATTTGACAACTGAGATTAATGGTAAAAAGATAATATCAAAAGCTATTACGATAACAAAAGGGAAGGGGAACAATAGTGATAAGATTTATTTTGGATTGTATGAAGTTTGGAACAAAAAGTGGAAAGGAGGTCTCAAAATTCATTCTGTAAACTTAACAGAGACCTAGAAGCTAGTTTAGCCAATTGTAAGATAGAAACACGTCGATCCTTGTCATCCCGTAAATCAGAATTTAGAATAGCGAAAGCTCAATTGTTAGAAGTCTTATTTTTGTTCATGTATTTTGGAGTGTTTACTTAAATAAATTTGGGTTTGTAACTTTGTATTTTAATTAGTATTGCTCACGTTATGAATGAAATTATGATTTTCCTCCCACTTCTCTGCGTACACTCTTCTCTTCTATATCAGCTAAAACAAATAAATTTATAACTTTATGATAGCTGGCTATACGAAAATCATTACAAGCTAATACAGTGAATGATTCAAAACATTAAAATGAACTTTGAAAAAAATTATAATTAAAGAAAAAATAGTTTGGTTCACAAAATATGGGACGGTTAGAGGAGTATCTTGGAACAATTATGTTTGATGTAGTTACTTATGATGAATGATTTATATAGAATTGTTCTGATTTGCCACTAACTTGTTCATTATTAGTGAAAAATGACTCCCCAAATTAGCATGTTAGAGTGAGTGTGACACAATTGCATTTTCTCAATTATATTATATGATTGAGGAGAGCTAGAGTTGTAACTTTTCTAATGATCGATTTTTTTTTCTACAATAATTATAGCCTCACTAATTTATTTTTTACGGATCATGAATACTTGATTTATTAAAGTATGTGGTAACACAATAGTACAATGCATAACCAATAGCGAAATATAGCAAGAAGAAAGGAAAAATATTGTTGCCAAATTTATTTTCCTTACTCCACAACGGCTTCTAGCTTTCCCCAAATCAAAAGTTATTTAAAAGACATGCAAAAGATGTGAATACATGTTACTAAGGTCTATTAAATTTCTTGATATTTTGAAATTCAAATATTTATGATTTTCAGATACCGCTTTCACATAATGAAATTAAGACTAATCAAGTGATGGAACTTAGAAATCAAAGCAAAAAAGTGAATTTTAAAAACCATTAGTACTTCCTCTATCCCTAATTACTTGTCCACTTTTCCTTTTTTAGTTATCCCTAATTACTTGTTTATTTTGACAAATCAAGAAAGAACAATTTTTTTTACCTATTATACCCTTAATTAATTACTTTGAAAAAAAAAATATAACTTCTTGAAGATCTTACATTTTTAATTCATCAACTTCATAATTAATAGGGGTAAAATGGTAAACTCTCAATTATTGTTTTCTTAATAGATGTGTCAATTTAAAAGTGGACAAGTAATTAGGGAAATACTATAAGATTAAGTAGAAAAGTCAAATTAAACTATAACTTTGCAAAAAAAATATTCTGAAACTTGTGGCTTTAATTAGCTCGAGGTAATTTGGGCCGACTAGAATCAAGTGATAGTTCATTTTTTTTTAATAAGGCAATGAAGAAAACGTCTAAAAGTGGAATATGTGAACTAATAATATTCACCGTGTGAGAATAATACAATGCCAATTTTTTTGTGGGTAATATATTATATTATTCAACCTTAATCAACTTGGGCTCAATCTCTATCCTCATGCATTCAATTTTGACAACTCACTATAGTGAGGAGTATATTCTCTAACTTTTTTTGTTGTCGGTTCGATTATTTTTCGTGTTCAAAATAATTGCTCTGATTTATATAGGCAGAGTCATAATTTTAATTTTATAAATTTTAAAATTTTAAAATGACGACTTTCTATTAAATATAATTAAGTTTTAAACTTAATATATATTTAATAATTATTTTAAATAAGAATATATTGATTGAATAAAAACTATTGAATTTAATCGACCATGATCACTAATTCCGCGCGTGACACTCTTGATTTATTCGCACTAAGTAAGCCCATATGGAATAAAACGTTTCCTTCAAAAAAATCTTGTAGAAAAATGCATGCCAACGTATATTAGAATATAAGACATGATATTTTATTCCATTTGATTGGTTGATATTCCATGCTAAATGCATGTCTCTTATTACGTGTGATTTGATTCCATTTCTATCTCTCTATATATATCTGATTTTTGTAGCCAAAATTATTATAAGGCACTCAAATCTCCACATTCTTTACAATTCAACTTATATAGCAAGTTAAATGGCTTTAAAATCTCTTCACTATCAAGGCAATCAAACATTCTCTGTAACAGAAAAGGTGCAGGACATTTCATAGATTAGTTTCTTCCTATATTGCAATTCTTGTTTCTCTTATTACTTATGCTTAATCCATCGATCCATCGAGTTTATGTTATGTTATGTTATTTATTTAATAGTGTTATTTTTGTTGCTTGCAGGGTTATATAATTTATCCAAAATCTCTTAATATTGTTTGGGGAAATGATAAGCGTTATTGGAAGCTACCCAAAAACGAGTAAGAATACTATTTTTTTAATTTTATTTTTATCAACATAAAATTTTCTAAAAGGACTACATTTTGCATAATGAAGACAATATAGGACTACATAAATCTCTTGTTGTTTTTAGCATGCTGACGTTTTTATTAAATATATTTGAATTACAGAAAGGATGATGCAGAACTTATGCAAGTAAATTGGTTGGAGGTAACTGGTTGCATCGATAATATTAATATAACGAAGAAAACATCATACAACATTGGATTTACAATGTCATTGATGACTGATGCGTTCGGTTGGAGCGATTCGCCACTTTATCTTATGGCTAAATGGGGAGATAATACTCAATGGAGAAAGATCAATTTGACTACTGAGACTAATGGCAAAAAGATGATATCAAAAACTATTACGATAACAAAAGGAAAAGGGAACAATACTGATAAGATTTATTTTGGATTGTATGAAGTTTGGAATAAAAAGTGGAAAGGAGGTCTCAAAATTCATTCTGTAACCTTAATAGAGACCTAAAAACTAATTTAGCCGAGTGAAAAAAATAGTCTTACAAAAAAGTTGTAAAAATAGAAATACATCGATTATTGTCATTCGTAAATGAGAGTTTAAAATAGGGGAAACTCAATTGTTAAGAGTCTTATTTTTATTCATGTATTTTAGAGTGGGTTTTCTTAAATGAATTCGCGTTTGTAACTTTGTATTTGTATTGCTCAGATCATAAATGAAACTATGAAGAAAAAATTATTAATTTCCTAAACGGTAACAGTTTCACATAATATAGGACAATAGGAGGAGTATCCTGACAATTATGTTTAATTTAGTTATGTTGATCGATTCATGTTGTGAATACTTTAACTTATCACGATTATCTCTCGATCAATCACCGTCATTTAGTACTAGATATATTCTTTCAAACTACTCTCTAGCTAGCAATTTCTCGTCACTCATTATGACAACATCAAAACTTTGTTATCTCTAAACCCACTTTTATAAGTGATCTCTCATATACCTAAGAATGACATTGTTCAATAACAATCTAAATATGCATTTTTTTTCTCTAGCAACTCATAATATCGATGACAATTCTATTCGATCAACAAAAATAAGCACATACATAGTCAACAAGTAGAAAAATATAATGGCTCAATTATATAAATAAAATGAATTCATCCTATAAAAGGTTTCATCAAAATCCAAAATAGAAAATTGGCTATTCATAAAAATATATAAAAGTATAATAATAAAATTAATCCATAATTAAGAAAAAAGAAAAAAAAAATCATTGCTGAACCTTTCAAGGTGGCTTCTATCTCTCCCATGCCAAAAGTTATTTAAGAGTCGTGCAAAAAAATGTGAATACATTAAGGTATATGAGATCAATAACATTTTAAAATTCACTTATCTAAATCTAAGTGTACAATATACTCCCTCTGTTCCTAATTATTTATCCACTTTTTTTTTTTTTGTTGTCCCTAATTACTCATCCATTTTGACAAATCAAGAAAGGACAATTTTTTTTTAATCTATTATATCCTCAATTAATTACTTTGAAAAAGATAGAACTTCTTAAAAATCTTAAATTTTTAATTCATCTACTTCATAATTAATAGGGGTAAAATAGTAATCTCACCATGTCATTAATTATTTTATTAATAGGTGTGTCAATTTAAAAGTTGACAGGTAATTAGGGATAGAGAGAGTATTAATACTAGGCATAATTAAAAAAAACAAAGGTAATATCTTAGCGATATTGAATGTTATTATCTTTTACCAAAAAAAAAGAAAGAATGTTATTATTGCTCCATCTATTTTAATTATTTGTTTTAATTTAATGATTCAGCTGTTTGGCATGCTGGTCTCCGGTTCTTAAACTTGAATTACTTAGCAGCATTATTTTATTCCACTGCTCATTTTGCTTCTATCTTTTTATATTATATACTAACATTTTTCTTCTATATTTTTATATAATTAATTGTTTTTCTAAAAGTTTGAATTAAAGTTGACCTTCTGTTTAGCCATACATTTTGCAAAAAAATATAGGTTTGAATGTACTTTTCTTAGATATGATTTGTACTGCTAATTTAAAAAAATTATCAAAATTATTTAATTTGATTAATTTTTATATTTAAAAATATAAATATTTAGAACTATGTTTTTTATTTTTATATAATTAATTATTTAAAAAAAAGTTTGAATTAGTGTTGAACTTGTGTTTAGCCATACATTTCACAAAAAATATATATAGTTTGAATGTACTTTTCTTAAATATGAGTTGTACCACTAATTTTTAAAAATCAGCAATATTATTTAATTTAATTAATTTTTAAATTTGAAATATACAGATTTAAAAATTATGTAAAAAATGTAATAAGTCATAATAATTGACATGTTTAAAATATATTTTAAAAATATAAAATTAATATTGTTAGCTTGTACTACACACTACACAGCATAGACTATTAATAACTAATATGAAAGAAAGAAAGAAATAAACGAGCGCCAAACCGTCAACACGTCTTCTAAATGTTGCCTGCTTATTCCCCTTGGCTGCTTCAATGAGAATGTGAATCTATTTATGAAGTTTCAAGTTTGAAAACTTTTTGCTTGGGTTCATTAATCTTAGCTCCATTTGTATTTTGTATTTATTTTGTTTATTTTTATTCGTTCATTTTTCCATTTTATATATTATTTAAATTTGTGATTAATATGCCTATTTCATCACAATTTTTATATTAATCGATGTATAATATTAAATTTTGAAAAATAAGTAACTAGTATTGAAGATAAAATATTTTAAAAAAAAAATTGATATACTAAAAGTGAAAGATAAAAATTTAATAATTTATTTAATATAGTGAATAAATAAAAGTGAACGGAACAAGTATTTAACACCGAGGAATTTTGACTCTTTTAGTCCAACTTTAGTCCTTTCACTTATTATTCTTTATGTCGGCTTAAGCATAAACTGATGTGGCCTCCTTATCACCAAATATTAAGTGCTTCATTAATTTTTAAGAAAACAACTATAATTAATATTAAAAATTCAATAAGAAAAATCTTAGTAACTTGTTGACTTTCCAAACTTTTATCATATTTGTGAAAATTCTATTTTCTATCTTGTAATCCCCCTCTCCCTTCCGGCCATTTTCCCTTCCCCCACCCCTAATGTACATGTTTCTTTTATTTATTATATATTTTTAAGAAAATAGAAAAAAAAGAGTCAATTAGACTACAACTTTGCAATTTTTTTTCTAGAACTCGCACTAGGTATTTGATAACTAAGTAATAAAAAGGCAATGAAAACAAAGGTCTAAAAGTGGAAGATGTGAACAAAAGCAATGAAAAAGATATATACGCCTACCGTTAACTTTTACTTGTCTACTATTAAATTCTCATTTTTTTTTTGTTATTTTTTACATATGCAAGAAAAGACAAAAAAAAAATCTTTTATTTTATCACCAATGTTAATTACTTATTCCTCAAATAAAAGTATGTGATTTATGTAATTTTCCCATAAATAAAAGTGAACGGAGAGAATAATGTCGTAATGTACTAAACGTGTGAGAATATAATACAAAGTCATTTTGTAGTGGGTGTGTTATCCTATCTTTTGCAATTTGGCGTCATTAATCTTTAGTAGTACTACAAAACAAAGGACGGTTCTAGTTTAATGCGTTCAATTTTGTCAACTTATAGTATAACTTTTTTTTTACGTCCAATCGTCTCCGACGTTGTTAAGCTAATTACTCCGATTAATTCAGATTTGCATGTAGTAAACCCTATAAGGGATAACTACAACATTTTTTTTGAAAAAAAATAACCATGGTGTATCTTATTTGAACGTCACTGTTCAACTTGTACTATTTTTTTCTTAAAATTATTTAATTTGCACCTAATTGTTTGACAAACATCAAATATGCGATATTTAAATTAAGTTTCATACGACTGAAGTCTGACATTTCTACTTTGGTCGGTAGTATGCTTAGCTAAATGCCTCTTTCATACGACGTAGTTGATTCCCATGCATGCATGAAATTAATTCCTATCTCTATATATATCTGATTATTAATTATATAGGGCAAATAGCATATATCACAAGGCATCACTCAAATCTCCACATTAATTCTTAGTAATTTTGAGTAATTCAACTTAATATAGCAAATGGCTTCAAAAGCTCTTCACTATCAAGGCAATCACACATTCTCTAAAACACAAAAGGTGCATGAAATTTCATGTATTTGATTTCTTCCAATATATATTAAGTTGTGCTCGAGTTTCTATTTTTTTTAAAAATTGAATTATGTTTTTTTTGTTGCTTGTAGGGTTATATAGTTTATCCGAAAGCACTTGACATTGTTTGGGGAAATGATAAACGCTTTTGGAAGTTACCCAAATATGAGTAAGAACTAAAGGGTGCTAATTAATAAGTTATATAAATTAATTTAATTGGCTAACATATGCTATATTTTGTAATATCTCAACTAACATGTTGTTAAATGTATTTTGAATTACAGAAAAGATGGTATAGAACTTGTACAAGTAAATTGGTTGGAGGTAACTGGTTGCATTAACAATATTAATGTAGTGAAGAAAGCATCGTACGATATTGAATTTACCGTGTCATTGATGACTGATGCATTTGGTTGGAGAGATTCACCAGTTTATCTTATGGCGAAATGGGGAGATAACACTCAATGGAGAAAGATGAATTTGACAAGTGAGATTAACAGCAAAAAGATGACACCAAAAAATATTACGATAACAAAAGGGAAGGGAAACAATGTTGATAAGATTTATTTTGGATTGTATGAAGTTTGGAACAAAAAGTGGAAAGGAGGTCTCAAAATTCATTCCGTAAACTTAACAGAAATCTAGAAGCTAATTTAGTTGTGTGAAAGAGCAGCACTACAAGAAAGTTATATGAATAAATCGAATGTTGTCATTCCGTAAATCAGAGTTTAAAATAGGATAAGCTTAAGTTAAAAGTCTTATTTTTGTTCACTTTTTTTAGAGCGTGTTTTTCTTAAATAAAATTTGTGATGGTATTTGTATTTGTATTGCTCACATTATGAATGAAACTACGTTTGTTCTTTCATACTTTTTCAAGTTTGTCCTTTTTGTTAAAACTATATTATATCAAGTTTAACTCTAAGAAGTGAAAATACGCAAATTACCCTTCAACTTTTTCTGGAAAAGGCACTCACATATTTTAATTTTATCAGTGCTCTCTTGCGTGTGTTGAAGTGCATTACATGCACCACAAATACCTTACGGAATAGATACTGAAAATAAGTAGAAACATTATTGATTATTCGGGGTAAGATGAGAAAATTAAGAATATTTTTCCTTTCACTCTTTTTTATATTCCCTTCCTCTCATGGGTTTAATGTAAGAGTTAAATATTTGATTTTGATTATAATTCTTTAAGATAAAATTTATTCATTAGAAAACAATATGAAATTATTACAAGACAACATAAATAATGATTAAAAATATTTTTAAAAAGTTGAGAAAATTATACTTAAAGATAAGGGTGTACAAAACCGAACCAAATCGCAGCCGAGTCAAACCGAGAAAAAAAACCCAACTAGTGGTTGGTTTGACTTGGTTTGATATTGAAAAAAAAACCCGACTATATATATTTGGGTTGGTTTGGTTTTAATTGAAAAAAACCAACCCGAGACCAAACCAACTCGACATTATATATATAATTTTAAAATTTTATTTTATACATAAAAATATTTACTTTGATATAATTTTTAAATATTTCTTATACTTTTTCATAGTTTTTATCTTTTTAATATATTATTTCAAGTTTGAAACTTAGAATTCTGAATTGTTCAATAAAAATTATAGTCTACATATGTTGATATTTATAATAAAGCTTAAATCAAAATCAAATTAATACTAATGCAAAAAGAAAATCAATTCAACACTAAGAATGACAATAATATTGAATATTTATTCTTTGATTTTACATTGGTTTAGACAATTCAAATACATAATCTAATTTTAATTTCCTTTAATATTTAGTCATGTAACTAATACGTATTAAACTTATTTTAGCATGATTTTAGTACTTTTAAATTATGATCATTTTCATTATGACTTGTTAATTTGCAATAATTGTTTTACGTGATTTCATTATTATTATTTTTTTGTTTGGATATTTTAGTGTCATTACTCATATCATATTTTGTGTTATTTTCTTAAGAAACACCTTAGATAGTTGTATTTTGGTAGGACTAAAGAAATATTTGAAGTACAAGTAAATTATATGTTTGTATGAATACTTTACCGGAAAAACCCAAAAATCTGAAAACCCCGAAAAAACCCGAGTTTTATTGGTTTGGTTTGGTTTGGTTTATAGATTTAAAAATCCGATACAAATGGTTTGGTTTGATAATTGAAAAACCGAACCAACCCGGTCATGTACACCCCTACTTAAAGAATACTTTCACGTAGGGGTGTCAAATAGGCGGATTGAATTGAAATTGGAGATATTAAAATGGGTTAAAATAGAAATTGGGTTGGATCTTGACCCACCCAAGTTTACTTTGGGCTCAAATGGGTTGGGTTCAAATGGGCTAAAAAAGGGGTTGGGTCTTGATCCTCCCAATTTGACCCGATTAATCTCAATAATTTAAACATAGTGATATTTAACTTTTATAATCACAATTCGAATATCAGCTCAAGATTTTTTCCCAAAAAAGTAACAAATGGATAGATAAATCCTAAAAGATGTTAAATAGATAATAATTCATACCTTTAATATAGGAACATATCTTAGTAAAGAGTTTTAAAACGGGTTGAAATTAGAAATTGAATTGGACTCAATTAAGGATTCCCTTAAAATGGATTAGGCTTGAGATTGGACCCAATTCAAATTATCTTGAGCCCAACCCTTAAAATTATGGAAGGATTACCTATGTTTGGGTTCATTTTTGACACCCCTACTTTCACGTAATATGAGATGGGAGGGAGAATATATATATAATATGAGGGTCGATTCACATGAGAACTGTTTTGATTCGCCTCAAATTATTCATAGCAGTAAGTGAAAAATGATTCCCCAAATTAGCCTTGTCACAGTGAGTGTGATATCATTGCACCTTTTCAACTACGATAGCAACTGTTGTAGTGACAAAATTGACAGACACTAATCAACTAACATTATGGGAAATATCTATAATGTTCCTCACTAGAAACCAATGCCTTCATCCATGGTTGATTTACTTATAACTTTGTATATACTCATTCACTTTTACTTATCACATTATGCTCATTAAAAAAATAATGATCGATATGACTATCTTGCCATACTACCCCTATTAATTGATGTTTAGTTTAAGTCAAAAAATAAGTAATTAATGTTAAGGACAAAACACTAGAAAAAAAAATAACTGTCTTTTCTTGATATGTTAAAATTGACAAACAAAAGTGAAAATCTAATTTTGAAATAGTGGACAAGTAAAAGTGATCGGAGAGAGTATCTGAATCTGTGCTATTCTTTTGCATATTCTTGTATTGAAGTTCATCAAAAAGGTTTAAAAGAAAGAGAGGAAGTTGGAGTAAAGGATCCCATAATAATGATAGAAGAAACACAAGAAAAGGATCATATTCAAGTAAGGGACACTTGACATCAGAGGAAGGTACATCCTTAAACATTGTTCACAAAATTTCAGGTCTTCCTTTTTCATCTCCGATTACTCGATACATATAATTTCTACATGCAAAACACGATCGAGAATAAATATCATTTCACCAATTCTTCATTGATCAAATACTTGAAACATTTGCTAGGCAGGAATGATGTCTATAAATCATATCAAGGCTGCCTGGATTGCCTATAATGTGCAATCTTTTTGCATTCTAAGCCTCTTAATCCAAGCTCTATTGCTTCTTTTAGCACCATTCAGGAAGAGAACAGGCAGTAAAATCCTGATGGTGTTTGTTTGGTCAGCATACATGGCTGCTGATTGGGCCCCTGCTTTCATTCTCAATCTCATTGTAAATTACAGCAAAACAAGACATGACAAGACAGAACTTATGTCATTTTGGGCTTCTTGTATGTTGTTGCATTTAGGAGGTTCTGATCATGCAATAGCATTTTCCCTCGAGGACAATGACCTGTGGTTTAGGTATGCTTTCACGTTTGTTTTCATGTTCCTGTCCTCTGCCTACGTGTTCTACTTATCGTTCTCCCAAGTAAACTATCTTTGGATCCCAAATGTCCTAGTGTTCCTGGCTGGAATCATCAAATGTTACGAGAGGGCACGTGCTAGGTTCATTGGGAGTATGGATAAGTCCATAACATTGAGTAATCCTAAGTACGAAGATGTTGTGAAGAGGAAGTCGTCAGAAGAACCTCACAATTTCCGAGCAGGAGAGCTGGATGATGTGGAGGTTATACAACTTGCATATACAATATTCAGGGCCTATAAAGGTGTTCTGGTGGAGCACAAGTTCACTTTTGAGGAGTATGGTAGAATTCAACAACTCTTGCAAAACAGAACTGATCTGTTTGCTTTTAGAATCGCGCAGGCTGAACTCGAGATTCTACATGATGTTCTATACACTAAGGCCCAAATTTTCCATGAAAGTTTTGGGAACTCAGCTCGATCTGTCTATTGGGTTCTGCTTCCTGCAGCATTGGCCTCTTTCTCTTTGTTGGTGAGGAACAACAAGCAAAAGCAATTTGATCCGTTCGATGTAGGACTAACCTATAGCTTACTCATTGGAGGTATGTTTTTGGATGCCATTGCTTTTGTTATCTTGCTTTATTCCTCAACTTTCACAATTGCCACAATGTCAAGGGCAACGTCGAGGCCAATCACTTGGGTGGTCAAATTCCTCAAAGCTTTAAAGTGGCCACGGCCACGTGCTCTATGGTGTTGGAGACCATCTCTCCAACAATTCAACCTCATAACCTATGGTTTAAATCGACCTCCAAAAGCATGGGAATGCATAATTGATTCCCTACACCTTACAAATTATCTTGATGAGATGATATATGTGAAAAACAAGAGTCTTTCTCCTATATTGGAAGCTGAAATTCTAAGACAAGTAGAAATACGTCTAAATAGGCATGATTGGGATTGTAACTCGTATGCTTCTACATTCACTAAATGCACCAGCAAGTTCCCTGTGTCGAAGGAGCTTGACAAGAACGAGTTCCTCATAGTATGGCACATTGTGACGGAGATTTTCTATAATGTTGTGGATGTACCTGAGGAAAATATTGGACCTGATTCAAGAGAGTTGAACAAGTTTAGAGAATGTTCAAAGTCTCTATCAGACTACATGATTTACATTCTTATTTTTCGCCCTTTCTTCATGCCTGTTCCTAACAAGAAGAAGATAGAAGAGACCAACAACAAGATAAAAGAATTGCTTCATGAAAAGAAAAATTCAAGCCAACAAGAAGCTTGCCAAGAGATCATGAAAAAAGCTGCTGAGGGGAGAATTCCTCAGGAATCGTTCTTGTATGAAGCTTTTAAGGTTGTCAACTGTTTGCAAACTGAATCTCCTTGGTGTCAAGACAGAGTTAAATGTTGGGAGATTATTCATAAAACTTGGATCGCGATATTATTTGATGCTGCCAAATGCTCTGCACCGCGTGCTCATGCACAATATCTTGTGAGAGGTGGTGAAATTTTATCCTTAATCTGGTTGTTGGGTGCTAACTGTGGATCCATGGCTCAGTTTTCATTTTTTGAAGATTCTGATGAGGAAAATCAAGCTAGTAATATGGCTAGGCTCGAATCGATATATTACTAAAGTTTAGGAATGTAACATATCATGTGAAGAAGAGCATCATACCAGTTGGTCTTAGGATATGGTATCTTTTGTAGTGTTGAAACTTTGTTGTTGTTATGAATAAATTGAGCTAATGGATGTTCATTGAGTACTTTTTTTGAAACATTTGAGTACTTTTACATATTATTTATACCATGAACCATGTAATTTTACATGGACGATGTACTTAATTCTTGTGAATTCTGGGGGAATTTTGTGTCATATAGAGTTCCTTATGTTAAAAGCTTACCCACACCTAGTGTTTATTACACCAAACCATACTAATTTACATGGTCAAGTCATATATTAAGGTGATAATATGTATAATCAGTTAAATTTTTACTGTATTCCTACCCTACGAGAAACATAATTGAATGAAATTATCTAATAGTAACAATCTCCACACTTCTTTTTTCCATCTAAGCATCTCTAATTTTTCTTGTTTTACAAGCTACTAGTATGAGTCTCTAGTCAACTTCAAGTAGAGGTTCATGTTTCTCGATAACATGTTATCAATACGAGTCTCTACTCAACTTCAAATAGAGATTTATATTTTTTTGGTGACTTTTGTATTATAGAAGATGTTAGCAATAGGATTTCCACGCCACAGATGGGAGGTTCTTAAGCCAAAAACAGACACAAGAATATATGCTTTCTTTTAAAAATTCTAACTTGGTTACCACTCAGAGCAGCAGCATATATCTGGTTTTAAGATAGATTACTCTTGACTTTGAGAATTTTCTTTGCAAAAAATATCATCATTTGTAAGCTTATCAAGGCAATTGATTTCTACATGAATTGTGCAATACTTCCCAAAAGAGCAAAACCAAAGAACAACAGCAGTAGCAGCAACAATATTAGTCGTCTTCCGCGTAAATTGGAAGAAATCTTACAATATGCAGAGCCTGGTGTGGAAGTACTTTTGGATGGACAAATCAGGGTATATGTATATCCCCAATTACAAAACTATCCATGTTTTATACTGTATATATATACGCGTGTTCGTCTATATTAATTGATGTATTATATATGCTACAGTATTGGATTGATACAAGGACAAAGGCAAAATGCTTCTTCTTGTATGCCAAAAATCTACATGTCCTATGGTCAGAAGAAAGCAGCAAGTGGAGTCTGCCCCAATATAAAGAGCATCCAAGGTAATTAATCTGCATTATGAGATATATCTCTTACCTTTTAGTAGACTTTCATCAATTTCCAATGTCTTCTTGAGTACAAATGAGCAGTTGAAGGATCTCCCTGAGAAGGGCTTTATTAGGCCAAGCCTTCTCACCATGAGGCGCACCTGTTTTGTATGTCGGAAAGAAGGATAGGTCGCTAAGGATGTGTGTAGGATAATGTATGAAGAAAAAAAATATATTCGTGACATGTTTAGGAAGTATTAATCAATCCTCTGCATTCCCACTAAAGCACTTAAGGGGCATTTCTACACTTAGATATAGAATGTTAAAACCACTCATAGACACACTAATGCACTTATTTTCAATTGATTATGTGTGCAGTGATCAACCTGTTCAAGTTTACGAAATGGAAACAGTTCTATCACTAGCTGTTGGTGGAAGTTTTGATGCAGAAAAGCTTTCAAGGGGAGTAGAGTACAAGGTTTCACTTGTGGTGTTATTGAAGAAATTTCTTTCAGGATGGGAATCTCCACTGCAAACAATACTTGTTAAGCCTGATGGTACCAAAGAACATCAAAGTATTGAAGATCTTATGGAAAAACCAAAAAGAGAATGGATAAAAATTCAACTAGGGACTTTCATCATTCCACAAGAAATGGAAAGTATCACAAATTTGGAATTCTATGTGCATGAAAGGAAAGGTAGAAAACTTAAGATGGGACTGGTTATTAAAGGTGTTGAAGTTTCTGTCTAAATTCTTCTACTAAATATTATGAGTAACAAAATAAAACTTACAATAATAGAGATGTCATATTCCTCAAACAGCATTTCAATGCCATTAGGGTGTTCGCTGCCAAAAGTGCAAAAAAGTTCTATGCACTGACCATGTAAAAATAGTTACACAATCAGGTCACATTTATAGGGTAATAGTATTGACTGACGATCTAGAAAAAAAAAACATGTTAAGTTACACCAATGATCGTAAACTATCATTTCAATAAGTATGGTGTTGTTGACAAATGCCAAACAATGCAAAAACCCATAGTGAACCCCATTTTTCTCTACTACTTAAATGATTTCACTTGGGTTCTTGCCAAGTATTAATCCATGATCCTCTTGTAACTGATTGAATTTCCATATCGTTAATTTAATTCATCGTAACAAGCATAATCAAGGATTCAAATCAGAGTGTCAATTTACACAAAGAAGAAGAAAAGATAAGTGACTTCACAAAGCAATTTCATCGACCATTGAAGGAATAATTCTTTTGTAGAAGAATAACTTGTACACAGGGTGAATTTGTCAAGGAAGAAGAGAATCAGATGCTTTAAGCTAAGATTTTGAGTCACTTATATAAAGAAAAAAAAACAGCATAGCATCAAACTTTATGGCAAAATATCAAGTGGTCATCAAGCTTGTTTTTCTCCATATCTAGTTAATATAATATTAGACTAGGAGAAAATTGTTAATAATCTCTTAAGATGGGTGCAAAGCAATCAATTAAGAATCCAAAAAATAGAGAGCGAACGTCTGTGAAGACAGAAGAACCAAGCAAGCTAAGACCAGAAAGAAGCAAAACTGATGTCAATTATAATGCAGAAACTACAAATATAAGAGTCCAGCCTCCATATATAAGACCTCAGCTTCCATATTATCTGAATGAGATCTTGAAAGAAGCAGACTCTCCGTTGGAGATTGATATATTGTCCACAGAGCGACTATATGAACAGCTATATAATGGAGTCCACCTCAAACAAAATAAGAAGGTAGAGCAACTTAAGTTTCCCTTCTTCTTCTTCTCTGCGAACTTCTTTTTATCCTTATCTTATACAGAAGTATGTATGATCCTATTTCAAAATAGCTAAGCAGTTGTAATTATATACTCCGTTTTTATGATATTCTTCTAATAATTCTTCATTTATTTGAAGTTTACAGTGTTATGCAATCTTACAGATAATATTAGTGATATGATATGCAGAAGTACTGGATTGACAGAACGAATAACGCAAACTGCTTTATGTTATATGCAAAAGATCTCTCAATCACTTGGGGAGAAGACAATCGTTACTGGGATTGGGTAGATATAAAAGAGACAAGGTGACCAAATCAAAGATATATTGTCTGTTTCAATTTATGTGATTCTGTTTCCTTTTCGGCCTGCAAAAAAGAATAAAATTTTGGAAATAGTTTTAACTTAAACTTCATATTTTACCCATGATGATGAAGTTTTATACTCACACAACTGTTGGGACATGTTTGAAACTACAAGTTTTATAAGTTCTGGAGTCACACAAATATTATGACATGATAAGCTGCGAGAACCTAGCTAATGGTTTTGAATTTACCACTTTGCAGTGATGAAAAATTTTTAGCAGCAGAACTAAAAACTGTGTGTTGGCTGGAAGTTTGTGGGAGGTTTGATACAGAAGCACTTGCGCCAGAAAAATTGTACGAGGTAGTGTTCATGGTGAAGATAAAAGAAAATGCAGATGGACTGGAATCAATTACATTGAGGCTTATCATTCCAAATAAGTCAAGCAACGATGTTACAGTAAATCTGATGAATGTAACAGAAAGAGAAAAATGGATAGAAGTGCCAGTAGGTGAGTTCTTCACGATCAGTGAGATTAAGAGGAAGAAGAAGAGGGAGGAGATTGAGATTTTTCTATATGAAACCGAGAAACTGAATTGTAAACAGGGTTTAGTCATCAAAGGTATTGTTATTCGTCCCAAAGTGTCCTGAGATTTTCCGTCTGGGTGATTTACAAGAATGACTTTGGAGGTGGATGATCTTGAACTTATAATCTTGCTTGCCCCATTAACAGAACATCAAGTTTCGACTTTTGGCCTTGAAGGTTTACCCATGTGGCAAAAGTTCAAGACCAGCTATTTCCAAGGTCATTAGGTGTTAATTTCCTAAAGAATAAGAAGCTTATGTAATTTATTTTGGAGATATAAGTTGTTCAGTTCGAAATTCAGTGACTAATGACCTGCCACTCTATCCTTTTCCACTAACTACCACCAAGCTTTGTTTTGCGGCAACATTTAATTGTAATCCATAATATGCGTCTAACTCACACATCAAATGTTGCAGTCTTAGTATTCACCAAAGCCCCTGGGCTTGACCTCCTATGTACTCTTCACTGAAAAAAAATCTCAAAGTCTCTCCTCAATGCTTGAATCTTTACTGGAATGACTTAACTAAAGGATAATTATCTCCTTTGAGGATTTGAAGGTTTGTTGGACACTCTTTTAACTTGTAAACCAAATGCATGCCACAGCGTAAAGCCCAGAAACTTTTGGGACTAAATTATACACGATAAATTCAGAGTTCACTCAGCAAGTAAGTTAGACTGGGTGTCAATCACGTTGCATCCAGTTTGGGGGGCGTGACACATCATCAGCTTATAAGAATAGTCTTGAAAACATCATTATGTTGATGATGGCTTGATATTGCGGTAACTGGAATAAACAAGGATTATACCTTCGTTCTATCCAAGATTATCTGCTCACTCTTTCTTTAAACCAATTCATGCTAAAAAAAAGATAGTTCTGTTGAATTGTCCAAAGATCTTTGTGCGATGAGCACATAATTATGCATTCCTGCTAGAAGCTTAATATGAAATAATATTTAACTTAGTATGAAAAACACATGCATTGGTTATGATGCTATGATCTCAAGGAAATCTGTAAGATGAGAAGGAATATGGAAATATGAATAGCAAATGGGAGAATATATATATATTTGATAAGGACTGATCTGGACATAACTAAATAAAATCACCATATTCCTCAGCAGCAGCAGCTTGCCGTATGATAAGACTTCTTCTATCAGGATCTCAGGACAAGCATCTGATTCTGAAAGTATTGACCATACAAAGTGATAACCAACAGTGCAATTAATAAGTAAAATAAAAAGCACTATTATTAGATCAATAAACATGAATCTTATCTCTCAGGTCTATGTCCTAGAATTAATGCTATAAAGCTAGATTTTTTAATTTTAACTACATATCAGAAGAAGATCAAATGGCAAGCAATACACAATTCTAGCTGCAATATGTTCAACATACGGCCACGAATAAACAAAAACCAACCATCTGAAAGAAGGCACACAATTGTTATATCAAAGTAACAATATTTTGAAACCTTGCAATTTAACATGTTCTAGCATGTTGTCCACCTTATTTTTCAAGATAATAATTCCACTTATTATGGGCAGACATGTAGTTATCTTGTACTTGACCCGGTAATGCAAAAATTCTTTTACACTACCACAGTACCACTATATAGAAGTTAAAACTCTATATAAATTGATATTATGAAAAGAAGGCAGCAAGTGACTAGGGGTGAAATGACCAAGTATAATCAGGAACAGAAAGTGCAGGAGGTCTAATAAGGTATTGCAGGAGTTTGGAATTTTTTGAAGGTGCTAAGTACAAGCTATTTTTCAGATAGGAGGGTGTTTTTCCAATGAGGTGTAGCCAAATAGCTAGAGTAATGCAATTTTCAAAGTTTAGACATTCTCCAAATCCAGTAACATCAGTGAATTTATCACCGAAAAGGAAAAATCTAGAGTCATATTACTTTTTTTTTGATGACCATGATGTATGGACCAGCTGGGTTCAACTCGACTAATTCCATGGGGTACCTTCTACCTCCCACCAGCATAGATATTGGATATCTACAATGTCATAACTTATTGTAAAGGAATAACCTTTTTAAGGCCTATCCATGCTGGCATGAATCTGTTCATAGACAGTGCAAAGTGGACGGCAGGAATAAATTCTTAAAGTAGATTCTGACTCCACTCGGGAAAGATAAAATCAAAAGATGCTCAACTAAGAGAGTTTCAAAATAAAAACTCCCTTTATTCATGAGAATGACTACTGACTAGGCCTCCCAGAATACATACACCAACATCCACAAAGAGTTCTTCTTCAGAGAAATGGGGTCAGGATTGTCACAAGATCAGGATTTAAAACAAAATCAAGAACTAAGCAATACTTCTCCTCAAGGCCACCATAGTGATGCTGCCGTACTCAATGAAGAACCAAGAAAGATTATGCCACAGAGCAGCAAGAGTACTGAGACTAACAAGACAATGGAAGCCGCTAGAGTACTCAGATTTCCACATAATTATGAAGAAATCCTAAAAGAGGCAGATTCTTCAGTTGACAGATCCTCCATGAACAAACTATATGACCAGCTATATACTGGAGTATATCTGAACCAAAAGCGCAAGGTAAGAAAAATTTGTCTAAGGCTCAATTTGAAACACTGGCCACCCTTCTGAAAAGGAAATTTTTCCTTTATCAAAACTTCTTTATTATCCAATTTTCAAAAAGATTTTTTAACCTACTCTCTCACTTAACAACATTCATGTTCTTCAAGAAGTCAACTTTATCTCCATTTCTGAACCTTCTTTCATATAAAAGATTAACAAGACTCCAACTTTTACCTTAAAAGTCATGTCCAAACCAAATGAGGCACCTAAATTCGTCCAGAGTAATAGATATATTGCTAGTGTTCATCCTTGAGAAGTTTGTTATTTTTGATGTTGATATACAGGTTTCAGTGTGTGATTACATTGAGTATGTTGTTGTTTGTATATACAGGTTCTACAGTCCCTACATGCTATTTGGAAGCTTATATCTACTTTATGAGTTCATGTCGAGTTCTTTGTGTATATTTTGTTAAAGCTTAGAATTCTGCCTTCAACTTAACCCCAAGAGAAGCATGTCCTCTTGTGACTTGTTGGACCAATTCTGATGTGCAAGTTCAACTAGTCAATTAAGCCCAATCACTTGAAATTACAGTTTTATTCTGTAGCCTTATCTACTGCTATGGCTATACTTAATTTGCACTTCATGCAGAAATACTGGGTCGATAAGAAGTCAAATGGCAACTGCTTCATGCTGTATGCAAGAGATCTCTTAATCACTTGGGCAGAAAACAACCGTTTCTGGCACTGGCCCTTGGTACAAGAGTCAAGGTAATATGAAAACGTTTCATTTGACAAAGAAAACCATACTCATTCAAGTTGAACTTCAGTGTAGATCCAAAGCATCTTTATCACACATAGGGCTGGAATAGAAAAATAATAATCCCTCCGTTTCACTTCATATGGTGGTATTTGATAGGTTATGGAGTTTTAGAAAGAAAGACTTTTGGCACATACCAAAAATATCCTTAGAACTTGTGGTCATAAGCATTACATGATACTGTGGCTATAAGAATAAAATGAGAAGTTTAAAGTTAAAAAAATTGAATATAGAAAAAGTCATTCTTTTTTTTTTTTTGGAATAAACCTAAAATAGGAGTGACATCTAAAGCAGAACAGGGGAAGTAATGTGCTAAAAGAGATTAAAAATTAGTAAACATGTGTTAGCTGTCAGGCCATGAAATGATAACCAGCATTCAGGAGTTAAAACTAACTAAAACTTTCACATTTCCTATTAGAAGCTATTCTAAACCAACATGTACTGCATACTAAAAGGTTTTTGAAGTTGAAGACTAACAAAGTAAAAAGGCCTGAAATGACACTTTTTATTGTTTATGCAGTGATGTCCTCCTTCCAGCAGCAGAACTACTAGATGTTTGCTGGCTAGAAATCCATGGAAGATTCAATACAACTATGCTATCACCAGGGCTCATTTATGAGGTTGTGTTTATTGTCATGTTGAAGGATCCTGCTTATGGATGGGAAAATCCAGTGAATCTTCGACTCATACTCCCAGATGGTAGCAGACAAGGACATACCGAGAATATGGTGGAAAAACCACGAGAAAAATGGATAGAAATCCCAGCAGGGGAGTTCATGACATCAGCAGATCAAAAGAATGGAGAAATAGAGTTCTCTCTATATGAATATGAAGGTGGGAACTGGAAGAAGGGGCTTGTCATTAAAGGTGCTGTCCTCCGTCCAAAAGCCTGAGTTCTATGGCATATGATACGAATTTAGCATGCAACTGCAGTTTCATTTTAGCTTTTTCACCCTAATGTTTACAATGATGAGCACTGAACTAGCAGCAAAAAGCATGAGATTGTGTTCTTTCTTTTGTATATGTAAATTAAGATGCATGTGCTATGCAGATATGTTCGAACCCTCAGACATTTGGCGTTAAGCCCAGAACTCAATAGTATCAAGTGATAAATGTGTATAGACAAGAGTTGACCTATCTAGGAAAATCTTGCATACCATGTGTTAAACTAATAAAGCAAATAGATCAAAAATATAACTTCTTCCCCACTAGCAGAGATAGAAACCTATGGGTCTGTAAACCTCCAGAATAAAAAAGTAAAACTCTCGATTAAAACATCAAATTCAGGTTCAGAGCATTTGCCAGAAGAACTAAAATTTGTACAATCTGGGAATACATTTTAAGGCCCAGTATTGCACTTACTCAGTTACAGACGAACATTTAATGGATTTGTTTGCCGGTTGTACACTTGTACAATAACATGGAAAAAAATGGGAATCATAACATAATGTTAATAGATAAAATCGTATAATTTGATTGACCAGATGTCATAAAGTCAGTTCTACTAATGGAAATGTCTTTCTACTCAATGTTGTTTCCAGTAAGAATTTAATACAATTTATTTCCGCTGCCAATATCCTTTTACCTAAAAGACATGTTATATTAATATTTACCTGATACCGACGAATATTTGATCAGTTCCATACAATGATATGTAAAATAGAAAATACAAATGCAAATACCGACCTAATCAAAATCTGATTGTAGAAGATTCTTTCAAGCAGCACATCTAAAGAACAAAACGCAGGGACATATCAAACTTCTGTATGGTAATTTTCTGGCTTGAACCACACTGAGAAATCAATCCCTTTGCTCTTCAAATTTTCCGTTGCTGGACCAATTTTCTCAAGGAGCTGCGCATGTTAATGGAAACGACAATGAGTAGCAACACATTTCCATTAGAAAGTTGCATGCTCTAAATTTTAACCAGAATTTAAAGGAATAAGAATACTCCGTCTTCTAGATACTTATCATAAATATTAAAAACAAAATTGATCCAGTAGATTTGACGTACTATGTGTTAAATCAACTGCAAGTCTGCAACCATATGCAGATTAAAAACAGCTGGCAAGTTAATTTCAGTTCAACATAGGTAAATGCTGACCTTTGCATGGAGCAAACCATTGGATACCAAGACAGATCTATCAAATACTGAAAAACTTCCTCCATCCATACACGAAACTGTCCCTCCAGCCTCTTCAACTATCTGCATGAAACATACACCACAGTGTTAAATATAGATTTGATCACTTGAATAACTTGTCATTAGTTCGTAAACTAGAAGTAACCCCCTTAAGAGAAACTTGAGAAGGACAACATTTGAGCCAAACTCACTTTCATGAGTGGATATCCTGGAGGTATTTCATTACTACAACGTTACCAACATCTGATACTTCAAGTTAAAAAGATGAGAACCATTCACTTCTTCGATTCAAAAACCAACTCACTGATCTTGAAAAATTTGCATCAAATAGGATCATACGGAACTTAGAAATGAGATAAGTTTATATACTGCTACTTAGGTTTCATTCTAACAAAGGCGTTCCTGTTATAGGACCTTAACTCCTCCTGCACACTTGGCCCCGCTGCATTACTTGTTTATTGCACAATGGTTAGTTCTACTTATCCACATAAAATAACACACACACATACACAATGGTAAGTGCTGATTGTTTTTCCTTTTTGGATAAGTACATAATATGTTGCTTTCTTTCACCGACTAAATCACTTTTCACAAATCTATAAAGAAAAAGAAAAGAAAACTTGTGGCAAAGAATACATTTTAACCGTTTTTCCTATTTAATAGTAAGGAGAGGAAAACAAAATATTATATTGAAACTACAATTTGTTGATTGGACCTATTATGCATCAAATTCTGCCTACTCAGCTCTCTAGAATTTTCTTCAAACATGAGAAGAAGAGTGTCTGGAAATATCGATAATAATGAAAGCAAGAATACCAGAACTCCTGCAGCCATGTCCCATGGCTTTAGACGATATTCCCAATATGCTTCAGCAATCCCCAAAGCAACATGACACATATCCACTGCAGCAGCACCAAGCCTTCTCACACCCTATGCAGAACATGGCAGGAAGAATTTTTTTTTTGGTGGGGAATGTGCAAAATTTCAGATAAAGATAAGGGATAAAGTTGCTACCCTGCTGACATCAGTAAATTCTTTGAACAATTCCATATTGGTTGCCCATGGATCATCATGCTCATATCCAAATCCAGTCACTAGAAGAGATTGTTCCACCTAAACAAACACCAAACAATAAAGAACAGTAACGAATAAGTCAAAAGAATTGGTGAAAGAAGATTGACAGTAAGTGTACCTTTCATTTAGTGAGCTTTATGTGTAACACTATTGTCAATTTAAAACTTGAAAGCCAAGCCATGTATAATGTCTTTGCCCAAAAACAAGGTGCAAAACTAGCACAACTTTCAAATAGTAATAAATACACATGCATGTAAATGGGTATAGACGCATAACAGGTCACACAGAACAGGTAGAGGCCCACACTTACCTGACTCTCTAATGCAATAGGACAAGCTAGAACTATGTTTATCAGATGTACTGAAAGTTATCATCAAACTCTCACTCCTAGTCATGGGTCTGTGGAAAATGGGAATTAAGCTAGTTTTACTCATTTGCATGTATAAATTCTCACCTTGTCAGTTCGACTGACATGAATCTTTTCACCATTAGCAAAGGCTCCTTTGCCTAGGAGAAGAAAATTGCATAACGTCATTAGTAGATCTTTGGAGTTTGCAATTGAATAAATGACTTGTTATAGATAAACTTCTTTACCTGCAGCTGCAGAAAATATTCGAGTATTCCAACACATAGGGCCACCAACAAACTCAACCTGTACAGAAAAAGACCTTAACAATATTATGTTCAGGACATGGAATTCAGATGTCATATCTGACCAGATATCAGAACAAGAGATTTGGTGTCATTGATAGTCTTCCCGCTTTATGGTTTCCAATTTCATTCTCTCAGTCTTCCTCTGAGAGTCTGTATACTACATAAAAGTTACTATTAGATAAACGTCACATAATTTTGGTTGGTCAGCTAATTCAAATCTTCAGTGAATTAAGAAATGCAGAGTTGCCAGGGTTGAATTCGGCGGCATCTATTATAGTTCAACTAACACATCCTACATAAATTATGGATAGCCTCAGAAATAAAATCTTATAGCAATGTTAAAGCTAGTCACTTTTCAACTATATAACATTTGTAAGGTTTGCTGAAAATTCCTTCCTCTTTTTTATCTCTCAGTTCAGGTCCCTTAAGAGTATAAGAATTCTCATTTATGTTCATAGTTTTAATAATATAATTTGTCCAATACAGTATATAACATATCAATAATCAATCTCTAGCACTACATGATTTAAGTTGCTAGTGATGGTTCAAGCTTTTGGTTCTCTTCTTGCACATTAAGTTGGAATCAGCTATCATAAAATTATCAGAGACCAAGCTCGCTGTATAAGAGACAGTGCTCTTCCACTGAGCCATGGTAAGAAATCTAAAAGGCACATCGGAAACTATCCCAGCATATACCACAGCAGCTGCAGCTGGCTTCCCTCTAAAAAGAACACCCACAGAGACTGCAAAGCTGGGATAGCCATGCGCAAAGTTTGTTGTTCCATCTGCAATACAAAGTTACCAATTAACATTCATTCCTTGGTTGAGTTGTCTTTAAGATAATATGTGGTGCTTATTTCTAGTGAAAGAACATTTTATTGAACTCAGACATGCAAGATATATATTTATAAGTAATAAGATGAATTTATCAAGATAAAATTAAGTACTCTTAGGGGTAAGGTCTACATACATCCTACCATTCTCAGACCCCACCTATGGGATTACCCTGGGTATGTTGTTGGTTCTGTTGAACAATAACAAACAAGAATTAAAAGAATTACTCTCTCCGTCCCAATTTATGCGATGTAGTTTGATTGGGCACATGTTCAAAATATATGGGAGACTTTGCAATGTTTCAAAACTACCCTTAAAATAAATTACTTTTAAATAGAAAAGTACACCTTTAAGGACTTTTTGACAAATAAATGGGACCCAACATGGGTAAAATGTTGATCGTGTCACTAAATATTTGCCAAATAATGAAATGTGTTATTCTTTTGGGGACTGACTAAAAAGGGAAGTGTCTCATATCAATTGGGACAGAGAGAGTAATAAGTATTTTTAGCAAAAGATTTGGAAAGTTTTTGAAGCATACTGTGGATATCTCACTTGATATGAAATATTTTTGCATACTAGGGAAAGAACTGTATAGACCCAAAATGTGAAATGAACGTGTCAGATTTTGACAAAACTTCAAAAAGTAATCTGGATTATTCTAGATCTCAAGTTAAGCCATGATATTCGTAAAATTGCAACCTTGATGTCTAGTCGCAAATGCTTCAAATTGCTCATTATTTTGACTTCCCTGAACAAAGTAATGACCATTTTACTAAAGTTGTGCAAGTTTAGCTTGGTTGCACTAGCCACTCCGCGTGCTTATGCGACTGCATGGCTGTGCAATGCAGCTACTTGGCTGTTCATGCGCTTGTGCAATCGCACAGCTATATCAAGCTTCACTCGCTGCTGCAGGAAATATATGCAGGGAGTCCAAGATTTTCAGTGTTTCCTTCTTGGCTTAGGATTTCCGGTTTGCATATAAAGAGGGGACTTGCAAGACAAAAAAGAGACACCGGAATTCAGTTTTATAGGTAAGATAAAGCACAAGCAAAATTTCTTCCTTCTACTTCTAAATTTCACTTTGAAAATATGTTGTTTAGGAGATTCTCCACGAAGTTCTCAATTCTTCTCTTTTTTATTTTGGGAACTGTGGTGTTCGGGTCAGCTTGCGTCTCGCGTAATCCACTAACTACCTCCTAACAATACAGGTTTCAAGCAAATCTCCCCAACAAGTCTTCAGTATAAGGGAATAATTTACTCAATGTCATCCCTTACTGAGAAACTGGTTCTAAGATTATTATTCCATACTTCCTTAGGTTTTTGGTGTAAAGAACAAAATATAGAAGAGGAAATCCAATTAGTGGATTTCGTAGGTTCTTTGTAAGTATTTCTGTTTCTATTTTCTTCTTTTTTTCTCTCTTCTCTGTTCATACTTTTTGGAGGTGGCCAGCATAGCCCTTAATTCTGAGGAATACAAGTTACCCGTTTCAAAAGAATTACTATTCCAACTCTTCAACTACTACACCACCTCCTTGGGTGTCTATGATGCTCTCAACTCTTAGCATGAACCAGTTTTACTTCGTAAGGTTATGAATGAATTCAAGATTTTTAGGAAGAAAAAAAAAAGGGAAAAGAAAGGGAACTTCCAAGACCATAATAAGGAACAAAAATCAGTTTTTCAAGGCCAAATAAGACACAAGACAAGGAGCTTTTGAAGAGACTAGGACACCAAATAGAGTTTCTTTCTTTCATTTTGTTAATTTCCAATTTAGGATTATCATGAAGCTTGAACTAATTACTATTTTTCCTGGTCTTTATTACTAACAAGTACGTTGTTTGTTCAATATTGTATTTAATGCTTTTCATTGATTGACCACCAACTAGATCCTTCTCTAGATTTTAAGGTAACTCAGGAGAGATTCTTCATTTAGAATCAGGATTGAAAAGATTGAGATCCATACTAATCAAATAGATGATAATGGTATGATTTGATTGTAGAATAGGCTTCTACTTCAAACCAGAGGCATGGAAAATAGAGCTAAACTCATTGCATCCTCCTTGTCTTAACAACCATCAAAAATAGGTTATTAGTTAAGAAGGTTAGCTTCACTTGACATAGGAATGTACCCTGAATAAGTATGAACTCCGACTTAGCTCACATTATCAGTAAGATCAAGAGGATGATAAAGGTCCAAATGAAATAATTAAGTGAAGTCAGAAACACTAGGCTTGTTAGTTGCTACCACAAGATTTTCTCTTAGCTAGTTAGTGTTAGTTATATTCTTTCCTTTTTTCAATACTTAGTTACTTTACTTCATTGTTCGATACTTCCACCCATTTTCGACTATGAAGTTAGGACGATGCTCAATATTCATCCATATATTGCTTGTGCAATTACATGCCTTAGCGTGCGTAAAATCTGCTAGTATTTAGGTTAAAGTTGTATATTTGTTAAACCGGAACTAGTTAAATGTGACCCCTTCAAATTAAAATAACCTGACCATTACAAGTTAAAACCACTTGGAACTTTGACAATTCATTTCTACTTTTGAGGACCTACATAAGTTCTCTAACCTCAATAGAGTGTCTAGCTAATATGTGTGGCTACTTTCATTGCCATGAAGTTAGAGATCTGTAGAACAAACCTAAAGGATCAATGCACCAAAGATAATCAGATGACGAGTCCCCAATAATTCCTCCTTCCTCCCCGAGAATTAGATGATCTGGAAAATTCTTCCTCACGACTTCAAGGATAGCAACTTCACTATTTTTATCTGTGCTGCAATAAGTTTAAGCCAACACATGTTACTGTGACAGCATGATGAAAGTCTCCACATAAAGAAATAAAATGAATATCATAACCTAAGGAGCAACTAAAAGGTAGCTCACATAAATCACCAAATTGTTAAGCATAAGGTCAACAGATAAAGTAAGACCGTACATACTCGCTAACAAGGCATTCTTTAACTTGTGTTAAATTCAAGCAATGGTCTTAAGAGAATGGGGATATGTTCCTCCAGCAAGAAAAAGAAGTATCACGGAGCAGTAACCAATGATCACATAATGTGGAAGAAAGTCAAAGAATATTTACTACAGTCTGATAAAGAATTGAATCGTTTCAATGAAAGCATAGAAAATAAAAAGGAAAGAAATATTCTTTGCTACAAAACTAGACATAGTGATAGTGATAGAAGTAGATTCACTAATTACAGTGAACAATACAGTGCTCAGTGTCATCACCAGAAATTGAGAAACAATACTGCAACAAGAATGAAAAATCTATTAGGAACAATATGTCACTGATCATCAGCGTAGAAGAAAAGAAACAGAAGCACTATGTCAATTCTGATACAAAAAAATAACCACCACCAAAGGGAAGTAATACAAAGTCTTACTCGGTCACTAGGTCAGTGAGCCCTTTATAGGTAACATTTCGGGGCTTATTCACAGCATCCATTACAACCTAAAATGAAAATGAGAAAAATGAGAAACAAAGTAATAGATTGGGAGCCAGAGAGATTATTTAAATTCTAGATGCAGATGGGATATAGAAGTAATGAAAAAGGAAATTGATGATCCCTAATTTGTCCATAGAAAGAAAAGTAAGACATCGATATTCCATGACCATAGTCAGCACTAAAATCTCAATGTACGAGAAGAGAAGATAGAGGATACCTCAGAAAACACAAGGAATATGATGATTGAGGCCAAAATAAAATGTAAATAGATGTATTATGCCTTAGAGTTATATCAACTTTACTTAATATTTTTACACTATTTTTTAATCATATGCCTTTTAACTTGGCTTTAACTGACATCTATGTCCTTCGATTTTGGGTGTGCACAAGTAGATACTTAAATTTGTATAAAATTGAACAAGTAATACATGTGTCCTACATGACATAATACACGTAGGATGCAAAATTGTCATGTAGGAAGTCATAAATGACAGATATGTCTATGTTCAATTTTATACAAATTTTAATTGTCTATTTGTGTATACTCAAAAGTAAAGATCATAATAGTTATGTCTAAGAAAAAAATGCTGGCAATTGACTTGAGCCTTGGGGTTTGCTCCCTTTCAAGGTCTCAAGTTCGAAACCCACTGGGTGCAAACAATTTCTGAGGGCCATCGGACTGGGTAAAACCTGAATTAACCGTGGTGCACTTGCGGGAAACTCCTTGCCGAGGGCCTGTGCACCCCCGGGATTAGTCGGGGCTCAAAGAGACTCGGACACCCGGTGCAAATCAAAAAAAAAAAAATGTAAATAGAAAAGGGGGTAAAAAGAAGATAAGAGAAAATTGGAACAGAAATTTTTGAAGAAAAAAATAATAATCATAAATTCACGAGAAAGCTATCAAGACCTAGAGGAAATCTAAAGATACATAATGAATACGAAGCTTACTATGTAGTACATAAGATCCTTTGATAACTGCTAATATATGAAAAACACCTATGTTATGTATATATTTCTACACATTTTTTTGCTCATTGATTACTAAACTTACCAATTATCAACCCCATCCTAGCCCCCCACCCCTCAAGCAGGTATTTCCCTTTCCTCACTATCAAATTAGTGAAAGGTAATGATAATACAATGTGTGGGGAATGGTGAAAATATCACCCACAGAGTAATGGGTTGTATTCCCTCGATTCATTTTTACTTGTCCACGGTACTAAAATTACATTTTCACTTTTACTTGACACTTTTAGCATATCAACGGAAGAACTTTTTTTTTATTATGTTTTACCCTCAACATTAATCATTTATTCCCCAAATTATTTTTTATTTTTTTTTGAAAATGGTAATTGTTTCTATTTTTGCAGAACAGTACATAGGATGTACTGAAACCCGTATTTACATAAGGAAACTCTAATAATACCGACCTATCCCTATAATGAGTCTAAGACATCAATGATAGAGACGGTATCATTAGAGTAAATTTGATTACACCAAAAACACAGAGTCGAAATGCAATTCAGTTTAACTTGTTGCATACTACTCTCCCTATTCTCAAAAACTCTAAAGTTCCTCTCTTTCCATATTGTCCACCAAATAGTGGCAGGGACAATTCTCCAGTTACTTCTGTTTTTTGCTTGTGTCCCTGCTTCTTCCCAGCTAAATAGAGCCTCTGAAATTCTCCCAGGCATGGACCAGGAGATGCTTTTACGTCTCAGGAACAAATTCCACAACTGGCCAGTGACTTCGCATTGGATAAACAAATGATTGACTGTTTCTGTGTAATTCCCCTCTTCATTAAATTCTCCTGTGTCAATACTGCTTCTTTAGCCAATAACCACACAAAGCAAGACACCTTGTAGGGGATCTTGGCTTTCCATATATGTTTCCAGGGCCACTTGAGTAGCTGCAGATTTGGATGATTCAACTTCTTGTACACTGCACCTACTTTAAAAATCCCTTTACTGTTTCCCAACCACTGCAATCTGTCTCGCCCTATTTCCAGACCACTAAATTGATCAATGCTTCTAAAAAATTCTGTTACTCTTGGAATTTCTCAGTCATTGAGGTGTCTTCTAAATACAAAATTCCACCCTTGAGGAGTCCATAAGTCAGCTATAGTACTTTGTTGCTGAAGAACTAAATTGTGGATGTCAGGGAAGAGAGTCTCCATATTTCCTTCTGCATGCCAATCATCCTTCCAAAACCTAGTTTTTATGCCATCTACCACTTTGATCTTGGTGTTAGGTTTGAATTCATTCCAAAGTTCTCTAATGGATTTCCATAAGCTAACACCATAAGGGGTGGTAACCTCCTTTGTCATCCAACTATTACTCTCTTCATATTTAGCCTTTATGACTGAGCCCCACAGATTCTGATTATCATTTGAGTACTTCCAAAGCCACTTCATCCTCAAAGCTTTACTCTGGTTCTTCATGTTCTTGATCCCCAGACCCCCAACTCTCTTTTCGGTGATCACAGTTTTCCATTTCACTAAGTGATATCCTCTCCTTTCCTTGTTCCCTTGCCATAAAAATTTTCTCCTGATGCTATCCAACCTATTGATGATTCCCGGTGGGATAGGAAATAATGACATCATATATGTTGGAAGTGCATCAAGCACAAAATTAATCAAAGTTAGTCTTCCCCCTAGTGAAAGGTACTGAGACTTCCACCTTGCTAGCCTCTTCTCACACTTCTCAATCACTCTATCCCAGATTTCCATAGAGTTGGATTTTTCCCCCAAAAGGCATACCCAAGTATGTGGTTGGGAGGACACCCACTTCACCTCCCAATATTGACTTCAAAATTTCCATGTTTGGTACTTCATTTACTAGATACAAGAAGCTTTTCCTCCAGTTGACATGTAGCCCAGACATAGCTTCAAAATACTAGAATCAGTCTCAATATTTTAAGGTGGTCTTTCTCAGCATCACAAAAAATTAGGGTGTCATCTGCATATAGTAAATGAGTGATCTCTAGACTTTCCCTTCCAGCTCTAGCAACTTCAAAACCTCTCAGCCATCCTTCATTGCATGCATTCTTGATCATATTGTTGAGTCCCTCCATGACTAGTATGAAAAGGCAGGGTGATCGGGATCACCCTGCCTAAGACCTCTCTGTGACCTAAAAAATCCTGCGGGAGAGCCATTTACCAATACTGAGAAGTTCGCTGAAGATATGCAAAATTTAACCCACTGTCTCCATTTGAGACCAAATCCCATCTTCTCTAGCATACCCATAAGAAAGTCCCAATTGACATGGTCCTATGCTTTCTCAATGTCTAATTTGCATAGAATTCCTGGTTTTTTTGAGACCAACCTGGAATCTACAACTTCATTAGCTATGAGGACAGCATCCATTATCTGTCTCCCTTTAATAAAAGCTAGTTGTTGTGACACAAGACTAATTAATATCCTATTAAACGTTGTTTCTTAAGAGGCATGCAAAATTCAAAGTGGACAAGTAAAAGTGAACGGATGGAGTATTTATCTTTCTCCAACATCCAAACTCCTCAATGAAGCTTAACATCATATTCTTAAGAATCCAACTTATCCTCTAGGTAACCAGTTCCCTGTCTCTAATAGCTCAACAGAACAAAGGGTACCCTAATTCAAAAAATAATCCATTGTAAACAAGAACTCAAAATTCAATCTTTAAGCAGAAAATTGCCAAGAACATAGAAATAAAACCAGATTAAGAAAGGGGGCCAAACCTGAGCACCAGTCTTGGCTGCAGCTTCAACCACTTGGAGTAGCTCACTGGAGGGGATACTTCCGGTTGAATCAGCAGCAATCTTTGAGTACTCTTTCTTGATACCCACCTCCGATAAAGCAGCCTTGGTACAAAATCCCCCACTAGTGGACAAACTTGTACAAAACCCATATTGTGAGTTTGTGCTACAACTCTTGGGAAATGCAGGAAGACGAATTCTGGGTAACTGACAAATTCTCAAAGAAGAAATTGTGGATGAAAGAAGACATCTCCCCATTTTCACACACACTGTGTAGTGCTGATTTGTGCTCAAGAGTTTTCTTGGATTTTTGGTCTAATTTCAAGAATATGAACTTCCATGATATTTTACTTTGGTCCCTTTATCATGAAAATTGACACATAACACCTTTGTTTTTTATATTATAGTTGTGAGAAAAACAATCCAATGGCCGTGGGCATAAATCATACTAATATTTATATAGGTAAATTAGAATTTGAATTGTTGGAACAAAACAAATGTGTCAGATTTGGGACTTCGAATTTGGAATATAAAAAAAATATGGAATTTGTTTATATTATATGCATAATAAGGCAGAGGTTTCTCTCGCTTTTGGCATAGCGGGCCCCAAGTGGGAGGAACGCATGACGGACTAAATATGTTCTTTAACTTGATTTTATTTCACATTTATGCTCTTCAACTTTCAGGATGAACAAGTAGATACTTAAACTTGTATAAAGTTGAACAAATAGATACACACGTCCTACGTAGCATCTATAACGGCCCAACCCGCAAGTGATAATGTCCGCTTTGGGCGTAGGCCCGCACGACTTTAAAACGCATCACTAGTTGGTCAGGCTTGCTTACTTATATACCCAACATCTCTCCTGTCTTTTGTTGATGTGGAACTTCTAATCTCAAGTTGGGGCGTCACATACACCCCCTCTATAAACTCAGTGTCCACGCTGAGGTTTGCTCCACCGAATGAGATTTGCCTAGACTCAACACTAAGGTTTGACCTGCCTTATCGTGATTTTCCTGAACTCAGTTGAACTCTGGCTCACATCGACAAGGCTGACACATGAGTGGCTTTGATACCATTTGTAACGGCTCAACCGACTAGTGATATTGTCCGCTTTGGGCCTAGGCCCCATGACTTTAAAACGTGTCACTAGTTGGTAAGGTCCACTTACTTGTATACCCAACATTTCTCTTGTGTTTTGCCGATGTGTGGCTTCTAATCTTAAGCGGGGCTTCACAGCATCATACGTGGTAATTTATGGCCTACGTGGTGTCTTATGTGTACTATGTTACATAGGACTCGTGTGTCTGTTTGTTCAACTTTATACAAGTTTAACAAGTAAACACATGAATCCTACATGACATAATACACGTAGGACTCAAATTGTCAGGTAGGATGTCACGTAAGATGTATGTATCTATTTATTCAACTTTATACAAGTTTAACAAGTAAACACATGAATCCTACATGACATAATACACGTAGGACTCAAATTGTCAGGTAGGATGTCACGTAAGATGTATGTATCTATTTATTCAACTTTATACAAGTTTAAGTGTCTATTTCTGTACACCCAAAGTTGAAGGGCATAAATATGAGTAGATGCCAAGTTAAAGAACATATTTATATATTATGCCTTGAAAATAATGCCCTTTATCATGATGGTAACTGTAGTAGGAAATTTAAATTCTCTAAATAAAACAATAAGGAAAGGTGAAGACATTCTATCATATACATTTACCATATCAAGTTTCAAAACCAAATTATGTCCTTAATTCTTACTTTTGATATTCTGGACAATCTCCTAAGCTAGCTAGGCATTTTCTGTAATAAATTTATCCTTCAAGAAATCACTTTGTTTCTCAGAGAACATAAGAGGTAGCATAGGGTTGAGCCTTCCAGAAATGAGCTTAGTAATCTTGCTGAAAAATTACTCAGATGGATGGAACTGAAATATATGAAGTTAGCTGGACATACCACCTTTATATTCAAAATAAATAAAGTATGAGAAAATGTTTTGGTTAGTTTTCCTTTAAGAAAGAAAAGTCGGTTCCATAGAATTTTCTTATTCAGGAGGTGGACTTGTTTGCCGTTATCTTAATCAAATGATTTCATATGGGATCCACTCAAATCTAAATATTGCATTGGCCCCTGACCTTGTTAATTCAATCAATTCATCAATTGGGAGTATTAGTATTGTCGATAAGGAGGAGCTTGACTTAAAACTTAGGCTTTAGCTCTTAGTTAACTTTAATGTATTGTTTTGTTTTGTTGTCGGCTTATGTTTATTGCAACAGTTGTCTTTTGCTGAAGTTTATGTTCCAAGTCCATTTTATATCTTTACAATAGTCAAATAAAAAAATAAATCCAACTTCAATGGAAGCATAGAAAATAAAAAGGTAAAAAATATATTATACTTCGTGCAAAAATTAGTCATAGAGATAATGATAAAAGTAGATTCACCAATTACTGTGAATCATAAAGGTCGGATCGAACTCAGTGCTATCACCAAAAATTAATGAATAAAATAAGCAATAGATTAGGAATATCTCGTACTTGTCCATAGAAAAAAGTATAAAATTGATATTGGATACCTCAAAAAGTAAAAGAAAATTGAAACAAAGATCTCTTTAAAAGGAGAAAAGATCATTTAACCTATCAAGAACTAGAGAATGTCTAATGAGGTGTAATGAGTGCACGACTTGTTATTAATTAGGCATAATACATAAATATACTTTTTAACTTGCTTCAGATGGCATCTATATCCTCCAATTTTGGGTGTGCACCAGCAGACACTTAAACTAGTATAAGATTGAACAAGTAGACACATGTGTCCTACGTGGCATTATACACATAAGACTCAACGTAGGATACGAAATTGACATGTCAGATGTCATGCAGGATAAATTATTTTTAAATGTTCCCTTACAAACAAAAACTAAAACTATTCGGGTCTTTGATATCGTAGAAATATTTCTTTGCTTTGGTAGAAGCGTGGAAAAATAATTTTCTATATTATAATTAATTTTACCTGTAGTTTTTGTTTGACTGAATTAATGAATTCATATTTCGAGTGAAAATTAAAAAGTAAGAAATTCAAATAAGGAAAAGTTTGATTTGATTGATTTTTTGGTTTGTGTGTTTAAATAGATTTCATTTAGTTTTCTCCCTAGTGAAAATCAATTTGAAAGAATAGTAAACACCCCTAATTCCTTAATAGAAATAAATGATATTTTTTAGACGAATAACAATTTTTTATTCATTTTTAAGAATAACTACTCACAAATAAAAAAATGTGACACAAAATTCAATTTAAACTTTTTAGTTTTTTTCTGCGTGCATTTGCTCATATTCTTATCTAGCATTGATTTTTCTAGAATTTTGTTTGAATTCGTGCTGATTTTCAGAAATAAATATAAAGTTAGTAAAATTAAATGCTTTTTTCCTTTATTAAAGAAGGGAAATGATATATAATGTTATATTTATTATCTTATGTACATATTCTAAAAAACTCATCTTTCTTTCAAAAATAGAAAACAATAATCAATGCGAAAAAGTAAGAAATTTTATTTGAAATTTTGATATTTTGGTTGAGTCTAATAAGCAAAAGAGAGAAAAAGAAGAGGAAGCGGGAAAACTGTTACATTTGGGATTTAAAAAATCTAAAAACAAGTCAAAACTGAGTTATTTTATATGAAATATCTAGAATTACCCATTATCTATAATTAATACATTTATAATTAATACATTTAACTGGTTGTTCAGGCATTGCAATAAGTTTATCATAAATGTTGCTCCTATAAATTCCAATGGAATTTTTTTCTATTTCCTCACTAAATCATTTCTCAAATTCTTAAACAAAAAAATTCCTTTTAAGAAAAATGCAACAACAACCACCAACAAGTGGAATAGCTCACCAAGGCATCATACCAAATCCTAAAGGAATTTGGTGTTACAGGTGTACTACTTGTCGCGATGTGTTCACTTCGAGCCAAGGGCTCGCTGGGCACCAACGTAAGCACAAATCTCAGGGGACTTGGATAAGAGGTGCTCCTCATGAGAAGTTTTTTTGTCCATCTGCTGGACTCCCCAACCTCTATCGACAATTGGGTACACGAAAGTCAACACCAACAGTGTTACGGGGCCAAGGAAGGTTTTACCGTCTCCGTAATCCAATGGTGTACGGGCCTCGAAGACTGCCTGGACGCCCACGGGCGGTTTTGTATCAACCACAACAAGCCATGGTGCTTCAGGTGCCTCATGTTGTTGCATATGCACGTATCGCTCCTCTACTTATTCAAGATCAAAACTTGTTTGCCAACCGTCCTAATCAATTGGTCGAGAACACCAATGTTGATGATCAGGAGGAGCTTGACTTAGAGCTCAGGCTTTAGATCTTAAGCAACTTTAGTTTGTTGTTTTGTTTTATTATTGTGTTATATTTGTTGGTTTGTTTTGTTTTGTTGTCGTGTTATGTTTGATGTTTTGTTTTGTTGTCATTTTATGTTTGTTGAAACATTTGTCTTTTATTTATGTTGATGTTTTGATTTTATTTTATTTTATGTTTTTACTATTGCCTAATAAGGAATTAAATTTCACGTCAATAGAATGATAGAAAATAAAAGGATAAGAAAATATTATTCTTTGTGAAAAAAAACTAGATAGAGAGATAATGACCAAAGCAGATTCACTAATTACTGTGAATCATAAAGTCCAAATCGGGCTCATTGTTATCACTAGAAAGTGATAAATAAAGTAAGTAACTGGTTAGGATGATATCTTACTTGTCCATAGAAAAAAAATAAAAAAATCGATATCCAATGACTATATAGTCACCACTATAATCGCAATGTACAAAAAGAGAACACAATAAATGCCTCACAAAGCATAAGAAATATGAAAATTGTGGACAAGAGAAAAGGTAAATAGAAAAGGGAGCAAAAGAAGGTAAAGTAAAATAGGAATAGATCTATCTTTATTTGGAAAAAAAGGATCAATAACTATATAAAGAGATCTTTTGATATCTATCAAGAACCAGAGGAAGTCTAAGGATACGTAACAAGTACACAACTTACTATTAATTTAAAACTTTTGATAATTGCTCATATATGAAAAACACATTTGTTCTTTCTTTTTGTTATTGTTTACATACTAAACTCATCAATTATCATCCTCATCCTAATTAAAACTCCATGTTCCCGAGTAGGTTTTTACCTTTCATGACAATCAAATTAGTCATGAAAGGTAATTATGATAATACAAGTTATGGTGAATGGTGAAAATATGACATACACATCAATATAGAGCAATGAATTGAGTTTGCAACAATCTTACCATTTTCACCTCACTATTATGTGTGCTTGATATTTAGCTAAAAGTGGATATTTCTAGTACATT